ATAATCATGCACGTGACCACACTTGTTTACTGCGCCATATTTCCAGATAGCACATGGATCTTTTTATTAAATGTATATGTAATAGTTTGTGTAATTGTTATAAAAGATTTAATTAAAATAAATCGTGCATTTGATTACATATTTCTTTATGCCAAATAATAAGAGGTGGCGCAATAAACTTGGCATGGATTTTCAAACATCCTGTGTTATTTGCATCCCGTGATTATCATCATGCATTTTAGTGAGACATTTGTTTTGATACACACGTAATGAATAAAGTTGATCTGCTGCATGTCGCGAAGGCTGCCATTCATCTTTTTTTTTTTAAAACGAGAGAAAAAAAAAATAAATAAATAATGAAAGAACGAAAAAGGAAAAGAAAGAAAAGAAAGAGAAAAAGTAAAAAGAAAAGCAAAAGATGATAATAATTTCGCTAAATCAAATCGATTTTTTACTTTTTACTTGCATATTTGGAAAGATTTGCAAAAAAAAAAAAAAAATATTTTTCAACCAAAAATAACGACGCTAAATGTAATATGAAATTTTTAAGTATTTTAAAATCTTTTGCTACTCATAATCGAAGTCTCGGTTAGTATAGTGGTTAGTATCCCCGCCTGTCAGGACATCCAGACCGCGGGAGACCGGGGTTCAATTCCCCGACCGAGAGAATTACTTTTTAATTTTTTTTTTTTTTTTTTTTTACAAAAATTCGGAATATTGTTTTCACTTTGAATGTAATCATGCTCAATGCGTGCAATACCTGCATTATATTAATTTGTATGCAAGCATTAGGCTGACGCAGCAACCAAAAACAAATTCATTATGCTAGTCTATTGAAAATTAAATGTACGTTATTAAATTAAAATAAAATCTGCTGTTAAGTTTCTTTTTGTTTAATTGTGATATTTCAAGAATTTCTCCAACTTTTATTTTTTTTTTTTTAAAAAAAAAAAAAAAAATCTTAATTTGGCTTTTATAATAAAATAATTTATGTATAATGTAGCGACGACTTAAGGATATTTATGTTCACAACGAAATAGATGAACTTATTAACTCAAAGATCAGAAATCTTTATTTATAAAACAATGAAATAAAATTGGGTTCATTGCTGCACTTACACCAACAATTACTTGTAATTAAATAAAAGAAATCATCATTTTTGTAATGATTGAATTGAACACAAATCACACGTTATGTTCCATCAATTCACTTACATTTTTTCTTGCTTATGTTAAGAGCCACAGTCATCGAAGAATTGAAATATTGAATCGTGTTATCGTGAACTTTCGATTTCGATTGTATAAATATCAACCATAAATAAATCTTTTTAATCCCAAATCAAAAAAATTTTAAAACTCAATAAAATCAAGGTTGTTAATTTTTCCAAGAAAACTTTATGAAATTTTTTTTTTTCTTTTGTAATTTGCTGCCTATGATAATGAATCTAATCCATTTTCGTTTTACAATTTTTTTTTTTTTTCCTCTTTCATGAGACAGGAATGAAAAGATAAATGTATTTCATGTAGTGAACAATATCATACAAGTTTCGTACTTTTTTGTTATACAGGTATGCATACTTGAATCGTACAGTTTTATTGAAAAGTTTTTTACAAATGGAAAGTTTTTTAGTGATTAAAAACATACAGAAATTGAATAGAACAAAGAAATAGAATTTATATTGAACTATACAAAAATCGTACAGAAATTGTATAAACATACATTCTTGTTTTTTGAAAATAATTCCTAAAAATGGATAAATTAAATTACATTCAGTCATTCAAAGTTATCTCGCAAAGCGGACAAAATTACCAGATATGGTAAGAATTTAAATGTTGTATGAAAAAAATTGAACGCGCAGTTGGGGTAGTGGTAATCTCGTTTGATACATCAGTGTTATTCTTAAAAGGAATAAAGGAATATTTTCTTATATTACAAAATAATCTAAAAAACTTTAATTTTATATAATATACATAATTTTACATAGTTAATAAAAAAAAAAAAAAAAGTTTTTGAACAAATTTTTTCAGTAATGAAAATTTTCTTATAATTCATATTAAAAAAAAAAAAGTATTTTATCATAAATCATGAAGTCGAATACGAAACCTTCCAGGATATCTTAAAGATGCCATAGGATATACTTTTGATGGGAGGTTTGTCCAAGAAGTAACTGTAGGATATTTCTTGCCGTTGATTGAAAATGCGCAAGTTCGATTGTCCATGTCTAAGTGAACGGTGATCACATCACCTTCTCCAAAAGTTGTGCCATAATTTATGCAATTATTATTGCTATAACATTGTCCATTTGAACCAAAGACCCAACCGTTTGCTTCAACTCCAACGAAACCCTCGTATCTAAAATTTTCGGGTGAACAGATCCCTATCCACGCATAAGTACAGCTCCTTTCAATGATAACGTCCCACTCATAATAACCTCTATCAAATATTTCAACCTTTGCTTTAACATTTTGATGTAATATGCACCCCCTTAAAGCTTTAACCACCGCGCCATCCTTTCCAACGGACAATAGAGGTCCACTGGCTTGTTTATCCCAAACAAATCCCGATTTATCACAGATGTAAGGAATTCCTCTAATGGCGGGTAAATTTTTCTTATTCCTAATCAAAAAGCGATATGCGCTGACGATAACATCGGAAGGTATCAATTCTAATGGATCGATGATATCTGTCAAAATCTTTCCATCAATACGTCTAAAATCAATGAAATCAACCAAATTCGTTACTAGTTCGACAATCTCGGAACGGTGAGCGATATCATGATTGTGAATTAATTTTGGATCAAACTTTAAAAAGTTCATCGTCTTATCCAAAGTTGGCATCCTGCTTTTAAGGGTTATGGCCGCATCATTTGAGATTTGATACGCCGCTTGAATTATGCCAAATCTTAAAACTTCGTATTCTGGTGTAGCAAAATGTTTCTCCTTATCAAAAGTATAACATAATAAATATTGAAGGGCCGTAAATGAAAGTCTACTATAATCAATGGTATTTAAAGGAATTTTGGCTACCGATTCTGTCAGTAAAGTAAGAAAAGGATTTTCGGCCGACTCCGTCATTTTGTCAATCGCTCTGGATAATAATTCGGGTGCGATGCACTCATAAAATCGTTGATTTAAGGTTTCTTTAAGAGTTTCAATGATAAATTCTTGAAGATCAGAAAGTTGAAGATAATCTGCTGCATGATACGCTCCAACGATATTTTCGTTCGTCAACGGGTTGTTTACGTTACATCCGGTGTATAAAAATTCGATGACAATCGCCATGGATATAGAATCAATTTCAGGAAAGATTATTTGTTTCTCGTAGCTCTCTTTCATCCCGTTATAAAACATTCTATCGAATACTTCGGATCTGGCTGCTAGAATTGCCTTACATCCATATAATTTGGTTCCATCTTCGCAAATAATTTCAATGTCACTATATTTCGGATGGTTGATTAACCTACGAAGATCTTTAACTAATGAACATGTTTTTGTCATTTTAGTCTTTTTTTTGTTTTTTTTTTTTTGTTCTAATGAAAAAATGAGTTTGTTAATAAAATGCTTCGATTATTTTTTTTTTTTAAACAAAAAAAGGAAAAGCAAGGCAAAGCAAAGAGCATATGAATTTTTTTTAAAAAAAAATTGACCTCCTTAAATATTTTTTACCCAATGTATGTACTGTACGATCGTCAGAAAGTTCAAACAGTTATACTCATTTTTGGGAATAAATTTTCTTGGCTCTTTATATCCCGATGTAGGTTACACCACTGGCAATTAGTTTGGCGCCATTGAGAAACCTTACTGCAGGACGTCAATCGATTGGCCGATTTCAAGCTTCATGTGATTACAAATCATTTACTGCGGAATCAATAATCTCGAGAACAAAGAAAACTTTATCCGTTCGTTGCGATCTTTAAATCGAACTTTACTTTTTAAGACAATAACTTAATTAGTAAGCTTTCTCAACTCTTATGACTCACCAAGTAAAAAAATGAAAAATGATTGTTACCCATGATTTCTTCAACAAACAACTCCAAGTATTATTTTGATAATCTACTTGTTACATCAACATCGATAATGTAATGTCTTGAAGAAAAATGTTATTTTGAAACATCTTGGCATTCTCCATGACATTTGAAAGGTGATCAATTATTTTTTTTTTTTTCTGCGTAGGGTTGTTTGAAACAAAATTGAATAGAAGGGGGAAAGGTTATTACCCTGACTAAACCCTGACATTTGAATCCAAAACGAGGCGGAAAAACTTCTTGCTGTTCATATACTCAATCCCCTAGAACAATCTTCGGTGCAATATAAGTTATTCCGAAAATTTTATGTTAACCTTCTAAGTTCTTTGCTAAATGTGATCTTCCCTATCAGCAAATAATTACATAAACATGTTGAATGTTGCCAAGTCGTGATTGGAGGTTTACTCTTTCGATTTGAGGAAATTTATCGATTCTCGGAGTATTATCTTGTTAAAAATCGATTTTGACATTTAAAAAAAAATTCACCGTAATACTCATTTCGAAAGTTGAATGAATTATGAAATTCGACATAAACTAGACACATTCTTGAAAATTATTGAATTGTTTCGAGATAGGCTTATCAAATGAAAAAAAAAACTCGGAAATTTGGATTTACTTTGAGTAATGTTAGAAGAGTAGTTTTATCGAAAAAAGTTCGAGACGTTCGAAATTTTTATTAATCACTGGTAAATTTATTTATTATTACAAATCAAAGTAAAAGGTTGTCTAGAATAAAAAAAAAAATTATTATTAAAGTTAATAAACTTGTACGAAATTCCTTAGTTTTTTAAAATTTTATTTTATTCCATATTGTAATTTTCTTATAATTATCTTAAATAGGAAATTTCAATCATGATATGCATTTTTTTTTACTCGATTTAGCTAAAAGTCCAGATTGACTAATTTTTTTTTTTTTTTTTACCTTCGCTATTCGAAACCAAACAAAAAAGAAATATTTCCGCTCACCTTGCTTAAAATGAGGTTAGTTTCCGTTTCTAATTTTTTCTGTTTTATGCATCTTCTCAAACTTTGTTAATATTGGCACATATATAATTTTTTTCATCATTTTTTTTTTTTTTTTTTTGCGTAGTTATACAACTGTGGACAACTACAAAGGCTTCTCATTAGCCAAAGATTTGAGGATGGTAGTCAACTGTCAAAAATATAGTGATATTGTTATTCTGTGTGAAGATGGAAGAAGTTTTTATGCATCAAAGGTGATACTAGCAGCGAGATGCGAAGTTTTTGATGGTATTCTTTACAGCAAGATGAAAGAAAGTCATGATAATCAAATATATTTTCCCGAGATAAAATCCAACGCTATGGAGGCTATACTAAATTATTTATACACAGGTTCTTATACGGCTAAAGAGATGAGAAATGAAGACGTGATTGACATTTATCACGCGGCAGATTACTTCCAATTAAATAGTCTCTTGGATTATATTGTCAGGATCATAGGTTTCTTTTTGCAATCAACCGATTCGTATTTTACGCCCGAATTATTATCAAGGGCTCTTGTCAAGTTACCATTATCAGAAAAGAATCCTCTCTCTCAAATATTGGCCGAATATATATCGTCAATACCCATAAGCTCCATTGAATATAATCAACTGTCTTTCGCCGCTCTAAAATTTCTTTTGTCGTACGCAAGGGAGAACGGGAAATCTTTGGCGACAACAGAGTATGAAGTGTTTCGATATATAACTATCCATTCCGCGCATCAAATTTCCAAGAAAGCGGTTGAAATACTTGACAATTACTTGCCAATTCCGAACAGAGCAAACGAAACACGGGATTTCAATCAAGTCACCATACATAATACCGAGTATCATCGTTTTCGTCCACAATTATTTGAAATAATAAATCCCTTGCTTGAATTCATTAATATTCGACGTATTGAAGGAAAGTTCTTGACAGATATAATAGAACCATTGAACCTTATTACGCCTGATAAAGTTATTGACATATACAGATTTCATGCTAGGAATAATTTTAATATGAATTTACCTTTATCACTTACCGCCGATGAACAAAGCAATTTATTTCCTTCCATCAATGGAAAGCCAATTTATGAAACTTATCCTGAGACTACGGATCCAAAAAATTTGCAATTAAATGAGATTAACTCTTCAGTTATTCCAACAACCAGCGTATCGAAATTGAACTTTATTTGGGATCAATCAGCATGTGGATCAGAAATGGCGGTTGAGGGAGAGGGATTGATAGTGAGAGCGCTGAGCACATGTAAATCAGCAAAAAATGTTCGAGGTACGATTTTAATCGAGAATTGTGGTAAATATGAATGGGACCTGATCGTTGATAAAAGTTGTAAAAGAATGTATATTGGAATTTGCGCAAGTGAAGATTTTAGTTTAGAGGAATTCGCAGGTCGTCAAAGTAGTGGATGGGTTTTTAGTGCGGCTGGGATTTATTGGAATGATAATAGTAAAATACGACGAAAAGAAACCTATTCACAAGGTGATAAGGTAACCGTTCATTTAGACATGGATGAGAAAACTTTGGCTTATTCGATTAATGATAAAAAATATCCGGCCGTTACTTCTTGGAAAAAACCTTCATCGGCGGTTTATCCTATCGTATCATTGATATATCCTGGACAAATTCGAATTCAACCTCATTAAAAGGAAACGAGGAATATATTGGAAGTAACGGTTTCATATTTTACTTATTGAAATGAAATTATTTTTCTTTTTTTTTCTTACAATGATTTTGAGTAACTGGTGATGTTACACCAAATAATAATAAATTCCAAAGTTCAAAAAAAAAAAATTTAATTAAAATCCAACGACGCACGTCCAAGAACAAAAAGTTAATCTATCATGTGATTAATTTTGTCATATATGTATTAAATCTCAAACGCAATTATGATCTTGTCGAATATATGTAACGGAGGAAACCGAAAGAAATCTATTAGTTGTTATCTAATTTGGTAAAATTAGTAAAGATTAGCAAAATTGTAAGTATCTCGTGATAACGAACGACCCATATATTTATAACATAAATCGCTCGCAGAAATCGGAACTTTTAAATTATTCTTGCCACAATCGTTTGTATCTAATAGTTGGCAAAGAAACATCAACGAAGTAGAATACTGAAAAGAAAGCCCAACAAAAACAAAAGTCACAACCACCACCCAGACCATCAAACTGGTACCAATACTCGTCCCTCCTGCAAATCCTTGTAAAATAACTTCTGCTGCAACGATGCTCCCTTTGACGATAATTTTCTGCTTCTAGCATGTCTATGCTGAAATTCTCTTTCGTATCTTGATCTAATACGAGACGTGACACCCTTTCTTCGACCAGCAGACTTCTTCTTTCTTTATCTTCAAGTCGTTCTTGAACTCTTGATTTTCTTAGAGCGAAAGGCTCTTTTACGTTCAACTTTTCTTTGACAATAATTTTTGGAGTGATTATTGGAAGGCGTTTTTAGATATTAAATTTAGTTTTCAGTCACATGACCTGAAAATGGATAATTGAGCTATATATATAGAATTTTAAATCCCATAATTTTATAAATCAACAAATTTTGGTACTATATAAACCTATGTTTGTAAGGTCGTTGCGGATAAGGCTCCCCTTTAATAGGTCGCGTTTGTACTGTAGACATTATGCAAATTTTTAGAAAATTAAGAAGTTGATTTCGAGAGTTGTTATCTCGTAATTCTAAGTTCGTTGTTATTTTATCTCATCTTAAAAGGTGAAATAATTTCTCAAATGATTTTTTATGTGATTAAAAGACTTTGAAAGAATATAGAATAAATCATGATGTCGCTGTTTATCCATCACTTTCGATTAATCAATCGTTTTATCAAATTTTGATAATAAAAAAAAATAATAATGTTGGCCCAAAAAAATTTAATTTCCGAGAAAATAAATAAATATATATATATTATCTACCAAAAATATATATTTTGTAATAATATTTTTTAATTCTGTTCAATATGTCCTATTGACCTTGCTGAATTTAAATATAAGAATAATATACTTTTAGTTTAGATATTTCCCCCGAATTTATTGTAACGTTAACAGAACGTCTATTTTTGACTTGTTAATCAATTCAATTTAAACCATATATTTATATGAATTTGAGAGTAAAAATATAATTATAATAGTCATCAAAAAAGAACCCACCACCAGATCACGTGATTTATATGCTTAATGTGACGCATAGTTATCCTAACAAGTGACGTGATCAAAAAGTGATAATTCACCGTGCCTAAGTAAAACTTATACTTTAACTGGGAGCCACTGTTAATGTTGACCGGTACTCTAATGCCGACCATTTCGTGATCGACCTGCCAACGGAGTAAAATTAAAAGAGATGATTACATCATCGTAGAAGTAAAGGAAGATCTTCTTTGAATTTTAAATCCACGATAACATGAAAAAAAACCAATTTTATCCAAAAAGAATTTTTGGAGAGGTTTGTCACGTGAATCACGTGAATTACAAAAATCTTCCTTTTCTCTCAACAAGCAATTTACCTTGTAAAAATGAAACATTTGCATATACTTGGAGTTGGTAATAGCGGTTCTTTTATAGCACACTTTCTTCGAAAACGTGGGCACTAGGTCACTTTACTCTTAAGAAACCCCACAACCTTAGGTAAATTCGATAAACTTAATCGTTCAATTGAAGTTACAAAGGAATTTTTAAGATATCAAAAGAGTATCAATCAGAATGTATACATGGGTATAATTATTGATCCTCGAATCATGCCCTATCAGGAGACTTATCGTCACCGATTAAATCTCACGAATTTAGTAAATATTATCAAAGGAACTTTCATCGTTTATCACCAATGAGGACCATTATCTTATTCACTTATGGATTGGGAACTTATGAAGAATTAATGAAAGACTATTATAATTTTGATGAAACCATTAGACCGAATCTTTTAATCGGTTTAAATTCTCATCATGTTTATAAAAGAGCCACCTTTGGTACTCAATTTAAATTAATACATTCCGGATTTGGTGAAATCGACCTTGGGGTATTCCTAGGAGATTTGATAAAACCGAAGAAAAGAAAATCGATGCAAATTTACAACCTGAAGAATCCTTGGAGAACAGAGATGTTACT